TATGGGCACACAAAGGTAGTACAAGCTTCTCAAATTGGTCCAGGACTGGCAGACAAAGGCCCCTGAGGCCTCCTACTGCACAGATACTGTTTGGTACCCGACAATTCAACAGAAGCACCAACACAGAGCGTCCTTTCCAGAACTACAACTTACTTTAAAAGACCCCATTACTGTACCCAGACTGCTCTCTTTATACCCAAGAGCCTACTAAGGCTTTGTTCCAGATGCTCTCCCACACCAGAGCTCCACAAAAAAGGTGATGGATACATTTTCTTTCAGTAATTTAACATTAACTGCCTTTCAGTTTAGCTAAGAATGAGAGTTGAGGAAGAGAAGTGTTGGATTCACCTTCTCTAGTTCATTCAAGATTTTGTATCCTTTGCTGTTCTCTTTAAAAATAAATACTCCAATATTTTCACCTTATTTCACTCTCTACAGGCAGGAGTTTGATTAGGAAATGCACCAGCACTCTCTTGGCCCTAATTAAAGGGCATGTAATACAACAAATAGATGGTGATGCCACACCATGAATTCGATCCAGCCTGCATCATTTGTTCATAACTTTTATTCACAGAAATGAGACTACTACTTTCCTTCCACACCTCTGCCAGGCTCCCCATGGAAATTACTCTCATCCACTCTCCTGTAGAGTGCAATATATACAACTGCGCTAATGAAAAATTGCTAGTAGAAGCAACAAGCATATCTCAGCTAACTAATCCATGGGATGTTCAGATCTGGAAACATAAACTTTCCTACCTAATAAGGGTGTGCTGATCTCCATCAGACTGATGCCAGGATGCCTTGGAGTGCAATCAATACAAAACAAATAAATTATTAATTGCTCCAAGTAATTAAATTTATCAAATCCAAATAAAAATAACTGATATTTTATGGAACTGCTTCCAAAGCTGAACCTCTGAAGGGACAGTATTGATCACAGGAGGACAGACAGATGTTTCACATGTTCACAGCCAATGAGGTCTGGGTTTGCATTAATGACAGGGAAGGAACAGAGCCAACAGCCTCCGATGCAGAGTAAACAGGCAGCGTGCTCGGCCATTTAATTGTGGGTCAGATCAAATATGAAGAATAAACATGTCTAAACACATACATACAAACCCACCTTCGTCTAGAAATACCATTCTCCTTGGAGCTGTAGTAAGCACTTGGTTCCCACCCCAAGAAAAAAAAATGGAAGAGAACTCCCATGCATTCCAACCACAGTCAATTCTTACTCATTAATCAGTGCTAAAAAAAAATGCTCAGCAAGCTAGTAAATATTTAAAAGCTGGTGAGTGTGAATATTTGAATCAATGGATACTAAAGCTGTACTTGTAATTTTCCTTTCTCTACTTCTTTTTTAATTGGTCCGACTAGCAAATTGTCTACAAGATCCCAGTTAGCAGATGGAGTCAGGCTGCTGGCTGGAAGCCTTTTCTAAGGTTAGGTGGCCAGCTTTGAATGACTAAGCTGGAGCATCCCTCAGTCCTTTCTGCAGACTGAGATCTCTACAAACTCCTTTTCATCCCAGTTTTGTTTTGTTTCCAGATGAGACATCACTTAATCGATTCTCTTCCAGTTCCTGTGCTTCCAAACCCTTGACAACAGAGCAAGGACACAGACTTATATCTCAACATGCAGGAGTAGGGACAAACATCCACCCTTTTCCATTCATCACCTTCCTTCTTAAAAGCACTGCTGCAGCAACTCAACAGCATTAACAAAATCATAACTTACAATTCACAGATAATGCTGAGAAAGAAGATGAACAACCTAAAACACACTGAAAATATGTTAAGTATGCCAAAGCCAAGTGCTCTGAACACAATAAAATCAAAGACAAAGGTTAAACTTAAAAGAAAACTGAACACAACACGGCACAGAAACACTGCGGTAAATTCAAAACAAACTCAGCTCTGCCCTACAGAGGCAACACGATGCCTAGATCACAAGTGTGTGGTTATTGTTGGCCTGTCTGGGCCCTAGAAAAGATTCAAATTCAACAGCTCTCATTCTCCTTTCCTTCAGGCAGATCCTCAGCAAAGCTTTCCTCCCTCATAGCTCACTGCTTTCCCTTTAGTCTCTTCCTCTCCTTTCCCTGTACAAATTCCCTACCCATCTCTTACTTCCTCTGGCTCTTTGGCTGTCTGCCCTCCCAGCTGAGCAGACCTGGTCTAACAGGAAGTTTTCCAGAAGTAATGCTTAGGATTAATAATACATTTCTGGTGTTATTTTCATAACACTGTTTTACTAACAGCAAAGGCAAAGGCCTAAAACTCCCTTTCAAGAAACTCATGAAAGGCTTACCCCCTTCCAAAACATCTGCTACTGCCTCCTGTTCTCAGTGGCACCAAGGCAATACACTGCCTTGAACTAAGACAAAGCTTTTCATAACACCTAGCTTCCTACTGCCTTAAAGAAACTTGCAGTCTGTGCTGTCAGGAGGCAGAGGGGAAATCCCATGCAGAGCAAGGGCATGGGGGTTGTGGCCTTCTTTGCCTGTGGCCACAGTCCCATGGAGAACAATGGGAGACTGAAGCCATTGTGATAGAAGGCAGCTTGTCAAACTCACTGGAGAAGATTACTCTTCAGCGTCTGCTGAAGGAGAAACTTTCGGTTATGAAGAATAATGGTCATAAATGACCATTAATCCTAGGGGGGAGGGGAAAAATAATCTTCAAATTCGGCCTGTGCATAAGATTTTGTAAGCTTTAACAACAGGGAGAATTTGAAAAGACAGGGCTATTGGCAGAAAAACTACTGGGAACAATTTGAGTAGATTTCTAACTTTTTCTTCAAGGACTCATTTCTATAAATTAATTTTAACTTAAGTTTTCTGACTAATTGTAAATCCTCAGGGAGAAAAAAAAAAAAAAAAAAAAAGAATATCTCTAATCAAAAAGTAAGTGCTATTATCCTGGGGATTATATGGTACATTTTTCACATGTGACAGAGGTTGAGTCCCTGATTTCAGAGCAAAATCCAACTTCGCTGAACTATGCAGGCGTAAAGCACGGTCGCAAAGTACAAATTAAAGGAAGATGATAGAAGCCTATAGGTGAGGAACCCTTTAGGTCCTCAGGCAAGAGAATTTACTGCAGGATGTCACAAGCCTTTAGAAATCATTTTCCAATATGGTCAGGACAAAACACCTTATGCTGGATGTGGCCAGAGTATGAGTTTCAAGCCCAGCATCCCAATTCTTCACTTAGTCCTAGTCAGCTCCTGCCCTTATCAATTCCACACCACTGGTGTGTTGAGGGTTTGCCACATAAATCCCACAAGTAAAATAATTCGGATTAGCATGGATTGTCAACTCTATACCACTTAGCACTCCAGCATCTCTTACCAGTTCAAAAGGCCTGCACTGACCTCATGTAATTATTTCTCCCCATCACCTAAATGTGAAGCAAGTCAGTCTATTAGCTCCTATTTTAAAAACAGGGAAGCCTTGAATAAGGAAGCCAGGTGACTGGCTAAAAGCCACAGATTAATTCATTTTGCTGGGCTGGAGACAAGTTTCACACTTCCAAGCAATAAAGTGTTGTTTTTTCACCTAGAAAAGTGATTTGCAATCTTTTTCAATTTGCAGACCAGTGGTACTCCTAATAATAGCATTTATCTCCTTAAAAATTTCAAGCAGAGCATAGAAAGTTGCTCTAGGTCATCCCAGGAGCTTAGATACTGCAGGCTGAAAGTTGCTGAATCAGACTGCCATGCCTCATCTTATCACTGCATTTTGTGAGCATTAAAGAGAACAAGGAGAAGCATGTAGCACCCATTTTCACAAAAGCTGGGATTTGAATTGCCTGTTTGGCACACAAGAAGGCTGCTGGCTTTGCCAGATGGTTCCATCACTGATAGGTTATTGCTCAGCTTCACTTCCAGAGGGGGCAGAAAAACAGAAAAGATCAACCATCACTTACTAGTTTTCAAAATCCAAATCAATCTCCATAAATTACTCTATCTTAGTGCCGGAGCTGCAGCCTTGCCTGTGACTTTCTCAAGGCTGCAGCCCCTCACTCAAACAGGTAGCCTGCAGATGGTGGCACCTGTACACCCAAGGGGTCCCCCAGCAGTGACCTTGCTGTGGCATACTGTCTCTAATGTGTACATGCACCCGTATGTCAAAGCAGAGGAGCCCAAACACATTTCTATTAACTACCTCAGGGTGTTCCCAGCAAGTTCTGAAACTATTCTGACATCAAAAGAACATCCCATAAAACAGTCTTTAAAAGTGACCTAGAAAATTACTATGCCAAGTGAGGGTGTCGGGTAAGGAACCTACTTCTCCACCTTTGCTACAATAAAGCAACTAAGGATTATTTCATTTGGTTAGGAAAAAAAAAAAAAGCACTTGTACCAGGCAAACTGGAATTTGCTATCAAAACCCCTCTGAAAACATTCAGTTGACCAGGCAGGTTTAACTTACTCGGTATCCCCAAACCTGTCGCTAAGAGACAGGCGTCAAGTCTTGCTGGTAAAACAGCAAGAAAGTTCTTTTCTTGGGGATATCTGTGCAACAGAAAGAACAAAGAGGCTTTTCCCAAAAACATTTTCTGAAGATAATGGAAATAGGAAGGCTAAAAATGATATGCATTTTTGTGTGTGTCTTTTTTTCAAGACAAAACCTGAACATCAAGTTCTTGAAAGCACCCCTCATCAGTGAACACACATGCTCTGGGAGGCCTATTACACTCGGCTGTGAGCTCTGTTTGGACTCCACAGCTCCACTGGGGTCTGCCATGTGTCCAACAGCACAGCGGGCACACTAGTAACAAACACCAGCAAGTTCAGGTGCCCCTGCAAGGCAATAAGCTGGCTTTCACAGCGCCAACATTCCAGGTTTCTGAGTCTCCACATTTATGGAATTCCTTGCTTATTTTAGAGGCAAGAACTTGACTTTCTTTAGCTATAAAAGGAGAACAGATGAGGAGACAGACAGGCAGACTGAAAGACATTAACAGAGGTCCCAAGGGACCAGGACAGCAGCCTACCCTCTGGCTTCGCAGCGTGACACCTGCAGATTTGAAGTCAGGAAACTTGATGCCAGCAGTCTCAGGAACAGCCTGAAAGAGATCGAAACAGGATGTGTTGATGGAGGAAACACAAGATTTCATACAGAGACTATCTGAAGGGGAAACACTGTTTCCTATGACAGAGAACCACCTGCCACAGCCACATGTCAGAGCTGAGGCAAGAGGAAAATCCCAAGCAATTCAATGAGAAAAATATTCCAAGATATCTTTGGAGAGATCACTGCTCTACAGACCCTTACACCCATCCACACGAGCATAAACTCTAACCCTAAACGGTACTCCTTATACTAGCATATGCATATTTGTACAATATCATCCTTATCTAACTTGGGCCCATTCACTGATCAAAACAGCCCAGGACTTCCCTAAATCTTGGCTTTTGTCAGCAAGTCCTCTAAGGAATGAGTTGAGAATCCTCTGATCTGTACAGACATGAGCCCACTGACGAAGATGTAAGCACTGCACCCCTCCAGAGAGGCCTGCTGTTCATACCTGGTTTGCCATTTGTCCACTCATTTTCTTGCTTACCCACTTCATGTTTTAAGCATAGCAATACAAGGCAGCAAACCTCTAATGCTGCTGATGCTAGGCAGTAGAGCATTTAGTTGCATTTCAACAAAATAGAAAAAAAATAAATGCAATTGCTTAAAAATCTGTACTGCTGAGCAAAGCACAAGATGAGCAAATTTTTAAATTATTAAACCAGGCTATCTGCAGGGCCCTGTGAACTGAATGGTGTGGGGTCTCCTGAATGGGTCAGCAATACTCACAATTCAATCTAAGAACAGCCACAATCTTTGCAAAACACATGCTCTGCCATGCTTTTCCAAAAGGAAGAGACACCTTAAGTCTCCCGATTTCTTTGGAGATGTCATTCGCCTTGCTGCTCCCACATTTCTCTGCAGAGAAGCCCTGCAGCTTGCTCTTTGTTCGTTCCAGACAGGGCTGAGACAACCAGGGCTGTCCCAAGATCATAAGAGATGCTGAAGGACAGTGACTCAACTCCTCAAGTTCCCTGCCAATGACTCTCACATCTCTATCAGCTATCTCTGTCTTGGTCTTGAGGTGGCACCTTGCAAACTGCTCTGCGTGGCCAGGCATTAAGATTTTTTTCAGTTATCTGTGGTCAATCCAATAAACAGAGGCCCCAGGAAGAAATTTCTAAACGTGACCATGGTGGAAAAAGTATTCTCTAGCTACCAACAGGTCTCATGAACTTGTAGGGTTCCCTTTGATCTTTGATAGGATGTAGCCTCCCTGCTTGGATTATTAGAGACAAAGAAGGCTGCAATCAAAAAAAACAATCCTCTCTGCTTCCTTTGGATGAAGGCTGGCTTTCAGACTCCCCAAACTCTGCCCCCCCAGCCTGTTGCTGAACACCCTGACACAAGCAGTGAGGGTAAACCCGCATCGTTGGCTTAGCTGAGGCAACTCTGACTGCACTCAGCGCATAAGCAATTAAATGGGTTCTTTTGCCTTGCGTGCCTGTACATGCTGTAAGCGCTTCAACCTCAATTGACTCTTTGGTAAATGATTTTCCTTTGTTGAAATGATGCTGATGCAGCTCCCGATTCAAATTCTTAGTTAAAATGCAATTTTTTTCTTAACATTTCCCAGCTATAGTTGGTAATTGACTCCTAATGGACTCTGTCATGGTTGAAATGATGATAGTGCAACAACAGAAACTGCTTCTCTGCCCACCCTGGCGTGCCTATCCACTATATGTCTGCAGACAGATACCAGCCAACAGGCAATATTTAGGGCTGGACTCCCTCACCTTGGCATCCTCAGCATCTTTCCAGCCCCATTCTCCATCACCACCCGTTTTCATTACCACCACCGACAAGCCACTTTAGAGGGAGATATGCCAGCCATGGTTGACCTTTACCAGATCAACCCTCAAAGGAATTCAACGCCCAAGGTGCCCAGTGATGATATATTAATTACACAGAGGGGCAGGGGGGAACCAAAACAGTGTTTTAAGGAAGTGGTGGCCATTAGTCACACTTCATCAAGCAGTAGCCATCCAGCATTCACTGCTTCTTTTCTCTCCCTTCACAGACCCTTTTGCAGGACAATGACACAAGTGCACTCTGTTCACATGGTGGAGGGACAGGAATTCTCAGGGACTTATTGGAAACATCCAAGATTTCGTAACAGCCCTTTCCTACTGAAAGTGCTGAATTCAGTTCGGTCCACTCTGTCCTATTTCTAGAAAAGGAAATTGAGGTAACTTCAAATGTAAATTGAAATCTGTGTTCTGGGCTCCTTAGACTTTAGCTCAGCTCAGGGAGAAATAAGAATTAATAGCTCCCAGAATACAAGAGTCCCCCAGAAGGGCTGCTCTGATCACAGCTGAGGATCAGGAGAGGTACATGTTCTGAGCTTGGGGAGATGCTGCTGAGTCCCAGGAGTGGGGAAGGAAAGGGAAACCTGGACTAGAAAAGGAAGGCAGCTGAAAGACAACAGGTTTGTAAGACAACCCTGCACAGCACTACCAGAATACACCTGGGAGAAGATAGAGGTTTCTCCCTGCCATAATGCATGAATAGCTGGCACTTCATCCCATTTCTCAGAGAGGGAAAGGGAAATGGGACTTAAATCAGCATTTTTCAAATGGGATAGAAACAGAGAGCACAACAGAGGACAACAGGCAATGGCTGCCTTAGACCAATATGCCTTCCAAAAGACATAATCAAAAAAGCACCTGCCAGAAGGCAGCCAGCAGCTACTCTCCCCAGTAGAACTGAGGGCCTGATCCCAGTAGGATGGCTGAAGGAAACACATTACCCAACCAGAGCATAAGCAGGGGGGGAAAAAAAAAAAAAAAAAAAAAAAAAAAATGTTTACAGGCTTCTCTGTCTCCTTCTTTTGTGGCAGCTTCTTCTTGGGAGCCTTGCGCTCGGCACGTCTCTGCTCAGTGGTGGTGTCAGCAGCTGTGATGAGCTTCTGTAGGTCTTGGGTTCTTTTTTCTCTCTCTTTCTTCCTGGTTTCAATTTTGCGAAGCTCCTGGATGAGGTATTCTTCTTCTGCCACCTGCAGACCAGAGCACGTAAAGGCAATCAGAGCAGCAGAGGAGGACCAGCAAGGCAAGGGGGCCATCTACCGATAACAGCTCTACTCTAGGCCAGCCTGGGAAGGACTTTAAATTCACCTGTCTAATATCTTGGATTTGCAGAGCATGTTAGGCTCCATAGCCTTACCTTGCATCCATTGCAATGCCAGTCTACAAACTGGCAGGTACCATAGCACAACACCCATGATGCACCCTTCAGCAGCATCCACAAATGATTAATCCCACCTCCAGACAGAGACCAAGAGCACAGACAGAAGGGTAAAAAAGCCCAAATATACTGTAGTTGCCAAGACAGAGTTGTGAAAAGCTGGCTCCCCCCTCAGACACATAGAACCTAGAGCAGCTATGCCTAGTACCAGCACATCTGTCAATGTGGGAAGGACAAGCAGAGTCATTATGTGTATGAACTTGTCATTAGAGGGAACTACTAACAGAAAAGGATGCTCTCCCCCAGCCTTTGGGGAACACACAGCTCCTTAACCTCTGAACCCTGGGACTGCTACACAGCTTCAACAAAGAAGAGAACTGAACATGCAGATTTACAGTCTTTGATGTTTTCTGGCAAGATTTTTACTCTCAAGGAAGTAATTCTCTCCCCATGGGACTCAGGGACTCATAAAGACATTGATCTGAGAATTTGTTTCTATTCAGAGAACTAGCACAGTTAAGTGTCACAGAGAGGGTGTTGGCAGTTACCAGAGCCCATAACTGCTCGCCTAGCCCTCTCTTCTGTGTGGCCAGATTTTTCAGTTATTGCCCTTTGTATCCCTTAAAATGACACAAACTCGGCAACAGAAGCAGTACTCAGGTGTTGCTTTTTCCTGTGCAGTCTCCCTCTTTCCCACCCTCTGGCCTATTTCATTCACCTACTGATTCAACTTATAAATCTTCTGGAGGAATAGTGCTCTCTTCCTCAGGTTACCTGCTCTGGTGTCCTATTGTACAGCCTTTCCAGTTGTTCCTTCCTTCGCCTCTCATGACCAGCATCGAAGACTGGTATTTTCAGGTCTGTGCCTGGAGCTGCACGAATATTAGCCAACTTGGCACAGATGTGGTAATATCGTTCCTTCAGGTCTTCCACTGATCTTTTCTGGGGAAGACATCACAAGAGGACAACGTTATGGAAGAACCAAGCAAAACCTTGTACAGGAGCCAGCTAAGGACCGCTGGCTGAAGGATGTCAGATAGGGCACGAGACACAGTGCCCAAGAAGATGATCAGCAGGAAACCTTGCCAGCCCTCGTGGAACCAAAGGGAAGGGGGAAATTTCTCAATGAACTGCATGAATTAACTGTCACGGGTTCACAGCTACTGCTTTAAAAACACCCACCACCAGAGGGTTCAACAATACAGCTGAGGGTTAGAGACAATACAGCAATGAAGCACTCCCAGATGAAAGGATGCAAGTACGGTTGTCTTGAGAGGAGAAAATCTGCAAACAGGAAACTGTGACAAATGCACAGGAGGCCTCCTCTGAGCTGCTCCAGACAACGGCCATTCAAGCCATAATCAAGAAGGTATCAGCTGCAACAATTCATTGTCCATCGCTACATGGAGTCTGAGCTGTGTTCCCTCACTCCAAGCACCAAAGGTGTTTGGACTGCCCAGCTGTGCAGACTCCTGTTATTTTAGTTTGCTACAGGCTCTTCACGTGAGCTTTTCAGAGGGCAACAAAAAGATCCAGCATTTGGAGCTGTTCTGTAGAGTCACACCACTCCCCTGCATCACCATGAGGCATGGAACCAGCAGTTAAAGGAGATTTATGATCGTGACACCAGAGTTGCATATTCAGACTGCTGGTGGTCCCTGCTTCCCAGCAGATGACAGAAACCTGCACCAGGTCAGACCACAAGTCAGGAGCAGCACCAGCAAAAAAATCTCAATCCCTCGGGACCATTAGCAGATCCTTCTCCCAGGACACCTATCTTGCTCAGCTAAACAAACTCCCCAGCTGCCTTATCTTCAAGGAACAATGAGTTGTTCTCCTGGCAGGGGCAAACCTTCTAACTTTCTGACAAAACATAACAGGGAATGAGCACAAGTCACAGTGTATTTAATTACAAACAAAGCAAGCAGCAATGCCCTGTGCTGGAAATTCAATATTCCTTGCTGCCAATAATTCATTATTTTCCCCTAATTAAGTTGATATAAAGGGTAATTTGGTCTTTGCAGTCCAGCACGTGCTGTAGCAGCAGGTTACTAGCAGCACCTTGGCCCCTGGGACTCACCTTGAACTGCTGGTGATCATAGCGGTCATGAATCACCACGAAGCGCAGATCAAAACGCCGAGCCAGGTCAAAGAGGTGGTCGGTCTCAGCTTTGGTCCACGCATCATCATGGAGATACATCTGATACTCCTGCTCCGAGTAGACAGGTACCTGCACTGTCTATGCAGAGAAAAGAGAACATGGTAGCTCTCTTGCAGCACTGCCCTTCTCACTGCCAGTTGGTAAGGGCCAAGAGACTTGAGTCAAGAACAAGAGCAGCGCACAGACAGGAAGGGATTGCCAGGACCCTGAGCAATGGGTCCTGGTAGGAAACATGACAAGCAGGCAGAGGACTTGATAAGGAGCAATGTGTGATCTCAGGACCACAAGCATGACATTCTGGAGAGCCTACCAGGAATTACTGCCTGGGAGGCTGAAACCTATTTCAGGTGGCTGACACAGGCAGAGGTCAGCAACCCACATCCTGACAATAGGTTTCAAAATTATCAGGCTAACATGGCAGTGAAACCAAGATTCAGCCAGTTTCCCTGCATTCCTCCCATCTAGCAGCACCCATCCTTGACATAAACTGTTCTGACAGTTGACCTTAATTGGGTTGGGACATGCTCACTTGTACAGGAAGAACGGGAAAGGCAAGGAGCAGTAGTTCTTAGCCTTTAGCACACCTTCTGCTTTGATACACAACCCACTTTCATGTTTAGTGCAGACAGTGCCATGAAGATCTGAAAGGCTGGGTGCTGTACAATTGAGGGCCATACACTTGGTAAACAACTTTGTCTCTCTCTTCCTCATCCACCCTTTCTCTAGAAACGCCACAGAACCAAACAACAGTTCAACTCTCAGAATGTCCCAGGTACCCAAAAGGCCAAACCCACACCACCGTCCCCTGCCTGCAACTGCTCTGAAAGGGCTCTATCCAGAACACAAGTGTCACATGAGTACTACAGGAACAGTAAAAATACTTACTGTACTAGGGGAAGTCCTAGCGCATGGCAAAGCAAAAGTGCAAACAAGCCTGTGCTTTCCTCCCTTACCCCCTCCCACCATTTCTGCAGTGGAACTTTGCTTAGCCTGAGGAGGCCCTGCCTCCAAAAGAAAATACTGTGTGCGTGAGAGCAACAGACATGCTTCAACAACTCTATGCCCTCCTAAGTCCTACACCAGAAAAGTCATCCTCATGAACTCTATACAGCTCAGAGGAGCATTTCTGAGCCCTCCAAATAACAGCCTCTTTACATCTACTGCCCTTCTTCCATCACTCACACACACAAGCTTAAAGGTGAAGCATATCTCTTGGGGATGTGCTGCACCTCGACCTTCAAGCACCACTTCTACCAGGAGAAAAGCAATCCTACCAGACACCGTAAGGATGTCCTGTGCACATCATGAAAAAAAATATTTTTTAGAGTAGCATACATACATGAAAAGAACCAGCAGAGCCCTCTGCTGTGGATGAAAGGGAAGGTGGCAGATGCCTGATCAGAGAAGAACATGGGACAAGAGCAAAGAGTAGTACCCCGAAACAACTTTCTCAGTCCCACTAATGGCTGCTCAGGTGAGAACTGCTGAGATGTGAGAAAGTGGGAACTCATCAGATGGAAAGCTTGAGCCAACCATGGGATAACTGTAAGCTCAAATGCAACATAGCCATGAAAAGGCAAATATGACCTCCAGAGAGAGGGATTTCCAGCAGAAACTGGCAGGGTTTCAGTTGCACAAGAGACATTGGCAGGAATACCAGCTACAATGTTACTGACCCCTGTTCAGGAAAGATGAACTGAAATGGGAACAAGTACAGAGAAGAGCAATAGGGATGAGTAATGAGGTATAGAGCTTGTCTTCCCACACCAGATTAGAAGAGAAAGGAGCCTAAAAAAGAAAGTCTGAAAGGGAATCTGACTGCAGGCTTCAAGTCTGCTAGAAGGAATGAAAGGAATACCCTGAGGAAGAAAATAACAACTGAAATAAGGACAAAGAAATTGGCTTGCAAAGAAATGCCAATTTAACATGGAAAATTTAACCTGGAAATGAGAAATGGAGCAGAGACAGTCTGAAACAGCTTCCCAAGGAAGCACGGAGGCAGGAAACTCCAAGTGCTTTTCAGAAGGAACTTGATCAGTTTATGAAAGGGACTGGATGGTGCAGGACCTGAAAGAGCCAAGAAGAGGATTCAATGGCCCAGAAAACCCCTCTCAGTCCTACATTTCACACTATAAACTCACACAATGATGGGCATTAAATTAGTGGAAACTGCTCAGAAAAGATCCTGGAGCCATGAGACAGTTCTGTGAAAACATCAGCACAATGCCTAGTAGTGGTGAAAAGACAAACTGAACTGTAAAAATGATCGGGGAAATAAAGAGATACACAGCCAGTGTACAAACCCAACATGCTTCCATAGGTGAAACACTCGGCCCTAGTCCACCCATTTCAAAAGAAAGGATAGCTGTTCTCAAACAACTGGTGAGACAGGGCACAAAGGGCAGATGTATGTCAACTTAAGGAAAACACGGTACACAGCAAGGACCATTTACCACGTCATGTAACACAAGATCTCAGAGACACCAAATGACACTCCATGGCAGCAGTTTAAAATGGAACAGAAGAAAGCACCCCTGTGCACCATACAAAATTAACCTGAAGAACTCATTACCACAGGATATTCACAAAGCAGCTTCTTCCCTCAACATACCTAGCAAGAATTTTTAAACACAAATTCCAAGTTAAGAAATCCTTAACCCAAAGACCACCAGAAGCTAGGAAAAAATGCTCTATTTGCCCCATTCTTATGCTCTTTCTCTAAGCCTTTACTAATTGTAGCCAGAAACAAAATATCAGCTAAGAGGGGCCTTTGCTCTGACACCAGTGAAACTGCTTTTATATTCATATGTCACACCCTGGATCAAGGCTCAGGGTACACTGTGAAACCTAAGCTTACATTTTGGATCTCACAATGAAAAAGACACATTTTGTTCGGAAACTGGAAGCACAGAGAAAAGGCAAAGCAACTGAGCAGTGATGAAGAAGTCAGGTGAAAGAGCTTGAGCGACCAATAGGACAGACTACACAGGAAAATGGGGTCACACCAAGGGGAGCGAGAGATTCAGGCAGAGGTATCAACTATGTGAAAAGGAACCCATGGAAGAGTCTGGAAAAGTAAATAAAATTCCTCTGACATAGCAAACATCTGCAAAACTCCTCATCCATGCTCTCTACCCTCTCAACCACAGATCCACAGGGAACTTGCCCCTAATATTATGTAATTGTGCACGTGCAGATGGCAGAGGTCTGTACCACTAATCTAAAGGTTGCAGCCTTGCTGAAGGCTCTTCTGTCAGTCAATTCAAGGTACATGATAAAGTTAAGGAAACGAGAATCGTATAATTACAACACCCATGTGTGGCCCCCTCTGATAAACTCGGTTGAACTCAGCCAAAAACTGTTACAGCAGTAGAGTCAGAGAGATGATTACACTCCCAAAGTTTCAGTCAAGGCACCTACCCAGCTGTCTGAGTAAGCGAGTCATGCTTCAGACTTCCACCCTAGACATCAGAGAAGGGATACCACAGGAGGCTCTTACCAATGTCCCAGCAAGTGGAAAAGCATCAGTCAGAGCTTGAGCCTTCTAACATATAAGGTCAACCAACCACTTAACTCTGCAGGAAGCCAGGCTTTGTTAGAGCCTACCCTCTGTGAGTTACAAACTTAAAATGTTGTATACAGTTATACCCAAGCAGAGCTTTTGTGGAATCATGTTAGCACACTTTTTTTTCCCCTCTTCAGATTTGCATCATGAAGGGAGTTAAATTACATTATGGAGGCACCCTAACTCTGCTCCATCCTAACTCTGGAGGTCCTGACTTTGAAGTATAAATCTTGATGTAGTTTTCTTTGTGCATACACATGAAAGCCCCAGCCACTCAAAGCAGATACATCTGGGACAAAAGACAGCAGGAGACTACAACAACACATTGTGATAATTTAATATAAGATGCAAAGAACAGGGTACTGCATCACACTGATACCACAGGAGCAATTTCAGAGGGAATACAACGTAATTCAGCATCTGTGCTGGAATCTGGCCAAGAGGCTGCAAGCCAGCTTTTTGGCCACAAAGCTCAAGCGATTTTTTTCATACTGGGCAAAATAACAAGACTTATGACTTTAATATCTCACTCAGAATAAAGTATCTTTTATTACCCAGAGCCTGTAATCAGGGGGAGGATGTTGGTTAAGAACTGAATTAAATGGCAGAGTGTCTCCTTACCAAATCAATGACTGCACACCTGAAACACAGGGGGCTCTGGCAAGCCCTGACCACTTTCTGAACCCACTTAGCTTGAATGATTTGGAGACATCATAGTCTGTGGTCACATGGCTGCAGGCCATGCTGCAATCTAAAATGCAATTGCCACATCTTCAGCCTTCATTTGTTGAAAGAACCAACTTCCTGTCTGTACATTCAAGAAGCTTACTGAAGGGTATTTTCCAGCTGCTATTTATATGCTTTTGTTTGAAAGTGCTCCCACTTACTTTATTGAACCTGGCAAAAGGGTAGTCCTTCCCTTCCTCTGCTGCTCTCCTCCAGTGGTAGAACATCGCTCCATCTTTTCTCGCTGGGTTGGTGAAAGGCATCCACTTCCAAGGCCGGACTTTCTTGGACCCTAGTTTTGCTTTGACTGTTCGATAACCCTGAGTTGTATCACTTGGCAGCAGTGGAGGTGCATCCCTGCGGTGGAGAAAAGCACTGGCTGATGAAAAGCAAGAAGCAGCCCAGGACAAACCCAAAGAGATTTCAGACTCAGCATGGGATCTGCCACCACAACGTTTAGAGTGGGAAAACCCCAGTTTAAGATTTATTCCAGGTTTTGCACTTCCCAAACTACAATGCTTCCCGCATCAGACGACAAAATACACAGCCCGGATGGGTTTGAGCAGAACCATCTGGAGAGCAAACTATGCAAGAGACCTCTGAGGCAAGGGCACAATCCGTAACAAGCTAAATACAGGCTGCAGCAGAACTCTTTTTGCAGAAATAAACACAGGTGCTATTCCCAGTTGTGAATAAAAAAGAATTAGATACAGAAGGGCAAGCACACTGCCCTGTCTGCATCAGACTCTTGCACCTGTACCTAATTCATCTCCTACACAGAGCAAAGCCCTCAAATTTAGAAGAGAGAAGACAGATGCTGTTCACGACTGCCTAAGAGAGAAGAGCACAATCACGGGCCAAGCACAAAGGGGAATCAATCTGGGGAGTGAGACTGCCCATGGTTTCAGGAGGATGATGCCCTGATACCAAAAGCCCAGGCTACCCCACAACCTGGACAGATGACCATAGGCTCTTACTTTTTGTCAGAGTAGAGGAGTGCATAAACTTCTCGGTGCATTCCTTCTGGTCTCTTAAACGTCAGAGTCTCTGAAGATTTCTTGGATTTTTTCTGAAACAAAAGAATTACATTTTAGATGCAGAAGTAGCAATCCCTGAGGGAACATTAAACTACATAACCTGGCGCCCTGTGATGGTTTTCACTTTTATCTGGTTTCAGACACCTTGAATTTCTCCAGGAAAGTGTCTGCTCCTGGTGGGAGACACTGACAGACAAAACGTGCCCACTTTCAGTGATAGCACTCACCAGTATTCAGACACTTGCTGTTGCTGATAACACACACTTAAATTCCAAGTTGAACATCTGGCTGTAGTTTTCAGGGGCTGGTGCACTAAGACTTTTTTTACTAAGTAAGCACTGCCCTCACATGAAGGTATTAATGCATTTAATTAAGCGATTCTCTACCTTTTAGAGAAGATAGTAAGAAATGTCTTCCCAACCTCTCAGTTTTTGCCACTTTGTTCTACAGTAACTTCAGTTTTTACCGGTTGTGATCAAGCCCTTGCAGTAGCCCCACATCAAAATCACCAGTTGTCTAAACCACAACACCAGTATCACCTACAAAAGTAAACCCCAACTCCTGCCTCCACTCTCCCATTTATGCAGCAAAGAATTTTCTTTAACATAGTTTCTTCATACTAGGAATTCAGTATAGACAGCTCGAATCTGGCCCCTAAAACCTTGTCAGAACTGGTGGTTTCTAAGACACAGTCCACCTCATACCACATATACAAGTTTATAGAGCAATCAGCTTTGGATTCAGGTAGATACAGTAACAGGCACATTAGCAAGGTACACTGAAGTGGGCCAAGTTTACTGAGTAGTCCAGAGTATTTGGTCTAATTGTACCGTCTTTATAAGCACTAGCCATGTCACTACTTTTAAGTACTTGATTACCGTATCGCTACCAACTTTTAAATCAGAATATTTTGCAGTAATAAAATTAATACTGTATCATAAATTGTATTAAATCCATACAGTCACCTTTATCAAGCAAATTCAAAATCCCATTAAAAAAATAACAACCTATCGGCTTGAACTACAATTACTTTACATAAAACTTCATGACAGACATTCATTATATTAGCACCTTTTCACTCCTAATCAAACACCTTTCTCCTAGCGTGTCCATCACTTTGCCCAGGAGCAATGCAAAGCCAACCGCGACAGTGACACGCAGGTCACCACACACCCTGCTTGAACACAGGCTTCTGGAATTCCCCCAGAGTTCCCAGATTTATTAAAAGTTAATATCAGCAGGCCAGAGATCAGCTCAGCCAGCTCTTTTAGGAGTTGAGAACAAATTACTTGGTCCTGCTGATTTAAATGTTTTTATGCCTAGTAATTTTTATTTTAACATTCTCAGTCACTAATGGACTGGAAAGTACTTCACGGTTCTCTTGTGATTTAAAGACATCAATCTGTTTCTTTTCTAATTGAGAACAGATCTATTTCCTGAGTAAGTGCTGCACTGCTATTAGCAATTTTGCGCTCTCCATGCGATAATGGCTTATACCTTTGGCTTGATTTAGCTTCTGTACTTTGTAGAAATACAGAACATTTCACTCACAGCCGCAAGCGACCTCCTGCACTCCTCCTGAAACTTCTCACTGCACCTCCCCTTCCTCTCTCTTCCCATTACAGTAAATCTGAGGAGAAACCCATCTTATTCTCTGCTCCAAAAGAGAGACAGACAGACACCAGTACTCCTTCAGCTCTCTGCTAACTAACAGACAAATGCATCTAAATCAAATAACTCGCAACTCCGAGCACTCAGTGGCACAGCACCACAGGCTGAATCCAGCCAACCTCACTGGACACATTATTCACCAACACAGCTGATACCTGGTGATTTTAACATTTCAACCTCTAGATTACTGAAACTCATCAGTTTTCCATTACATCAATTATACTATGTGTCCTATCCCCAGCAAGGCAGTCACAAAACCACTGAGCTTCTCCTGAGACAAATATTTCAGTGGAGGCAAAGACAGGCAAGAAGCACTTTCAGAAATGGGGTGGTTGCATATGTTTGGGTTTGGTTTGTTTTTTAATTTTCCAGACAAATATACAGGCTTTACTTCAGATCAGACCATCTTTTCACCAGAACGCTCCTAGGGATTTCACCTCCCCCAGCTCATTTCCAAGCACCTCCGCATCTCAAAACTACTCATGAATTGACCTTCCCAATGCCTTGCAAAGCACGTGACAGCCAAGACCTTGCCCGAATTTAAAATACAGAAAGCAACAACATACCATAGCATATTACCACACAAAACACAGCACATGACGGCACACATCCTTAACAGAGCTTACTAACTTGCCCACATTCCCACAGGCAACACATCCCAGTTCCCCAGCCACACACCTTCCCCACACAGAGACTGCTTCCATGGTTTGAAGACATATACTGTTCAATCAAGTCAGACAACATTTTTTTTTCTTCTAAAATAGGCCTGTGTTATATTATTTCCATCTGCTTGAGGGCTAGATAGTAAACACACTTCACACTTACTCCACAAAATGGTAATTTTGGAAACAGCTGAAAATGTCCTGGGGGAGGCCCAGCTCACCAGGGCACCACTTGCACAGCTCCAGCTTAAATACTGCCCCAAATGCCTCAGCACCGTTAACTAAGAACACCAGGAACCCAGGAGTGGGGCCCTCCAGGCATTTCCAGATACTCCCAGGAAGCCTGAAAACAAACGGACTATAGTAGGAACATACTTTATTTCAATTTTTTTTTTCCAATATTCACCCCAGACACTACGCGCAAGGTCAGGCAGTGACTAGAAAACAAGCAGCAGCCCCTCGGGGCATCACAGTTTTCACCTTATCCGAGTTGATGATATCCTTTTTGTTGATGGTGCCCGTGTTCTCCGACTCTACGCCACCCAGCTCCAGGATGTCCCGCACGTCTGCGCCCGTCGCCATCTCTCCGCCTGCCCGCTGGGGCCTTCTCCGCCGCCGTCCTGTCCGTCCCCTCCAGCTCTGGGTTGGGGGGAAACCAGGGGGCCGGGGGTTAACGCGCACCTCCCGCGGGGGCTACCCCATACACGCACAAACACGCATATCTGCATGCCTATATATATATTATACACACCTATATCTATATACATACAGGCGCGCGCGTATATCTATATATACACACACACACACCCCTCACCCCTCAGCCGCCTTCCCATCCCCCCCCCCCTCCCAGGCCCAACAACGGGGCCTTGCACCCGGCCGCTCCCGGGGGCCACGCACGCCGAGCCCGTGTCCCGGAGCGTCGGGAAGCCCTCGGGAGAGCGGCAGGAGCGAGGCGCGGCCGTGGGGCCACGGCAGCCCCGAATCCCCGCCGCTCCCGCGCTCACCCACCGGCGCCGGCTCCGCAGCCACCGGGACGGTGCGACCAACACAACGACCCGGGCAGCGGCACTTCCGTTCCCGCCAAGGGGCGCCCGGAAGTGCACGGAGCCCTTTGGGGGACGCACCACGGGGGGGGGGGGGGGGGGGGCGGGGCGGTGGTATAAGGGGTGCGGCCCCGGGTCGCGCCCGGTTTGCGTGAGGTCGCGGGTTCGCGCCCCTCTCCCGGCAGGTCGCAGCCGCGCCGGGCTCGCCGTGTCCGCCTGCCCCGGAGCCTCGGCGGCAGCGCTCGGGGCCGGTGTGCGCCTTTCCCCGCTCCGGGCGGAGAGCCCGCTGCAGGCGGGACTCGCTCCCGGGCCAGGAGGCGGCAGCACCCGGCGGGTGTCTCCGAGCCCGTGGTCTGCGGGAGCGGGGGGCCGCAGGGATTTCCAGGGAGCTCGCGCCCCAGTCGCCCGAGGCGACGGGGCAGGGCTGCCCGTTCGCCGTGGGGCGCTGGGCTCTGCCTGGGCTGGGGGCGCCGCGCCCACGCCCCACCGCCCGCCCCGCACGGTGGCAGCGGGCAGCCCGGGCCAGCGGCCAGCCCTCCCGGCGGGCTCGGGGCTGCCCCGGTTCCCCGCAGAGCTCGTGAGGAGGTTCCCGGTCTCCTCGCTGGGTGCTGCAGCGCCCGCCTGCTCTCCCCGCCCGCGGCCGGCCGTGCCAAGTGGCTGCAAGCCAGGCGGGCGCTGCACCCTGTGGCTGCCTGTCCCGGTTTCGTTTTACAAAGCGTACGCTCCCCGTCTTCGTGCTTGGCAAGAAAACCCTCCTGAAGCGCTCCCAAGCTGCAGCGCTTACCCGAGGCCGCAGCCAGCTAGGAGTGAAAGTTTTATTAATAGGACTGTCCCGTTTCCTCTTCCTTGTGAGAGGGGGGAATGGGGAAGGAAACGGCAGTGTGGGGCCAGGAGGGACTTGGAGAAATCGCCTTCCTGCTGCATCAAGGCAGGAGCAAGGTTGACTGGCAGAGGTTTGTCCGAAGCAGAAGGTTTCAGCATGGGGCACAGAGATCCATAGGGATCAGCCAGCCACCTCCGATAGCCCAGGAGAAGGGGTGTCCCTGAAAAGATCACCTGTGCAGCAGCCCCGAGGTGACCTGCAGCCTCCTGTGCCAGGGTGACTCGGGCACTCCAGCCAGGCTGTGATGGAGTTGCCGCTGTTCCCATCCCCCTGGCAATCCCTTCCCATGGGGACTGGCACGTCGCCTCCACACAAGGGCCCAACCAGTACCAGTGTGCCCCAACGGGAACTAGTGACACCCACAGAGAGTCATCTCTTGTCCGCAGGAATTATTGAACTCCTTTTCTGCCCCCTCCCACGCTACCAGGGATGGCTTTTAGCATCTTGGCTCTTCCTCCCACAAGGACAGAGCTGATCCTGAGATTTTCCTGTCCTGCCCATTTGCTCACAGCTCTGCCACATCCACCTGAGACCTCCTCCCAGCAGCACATGTGGCCATTCCTTAACCATTTCTAGCACTTTCCTTGCTCCCTTGCTGTGGCTGGCCTGGAGGTGGGGTCTGTGCTCCCCCAGGGTGGGTCTGCAGAGGGAGACAGGGCTTTCCCAGTGCTGCCTTTGCAGTCTCAGCCCTGCTCTGCCAGCCTGGCAAGCCTGGCCCTGCTGCTCCAGCGAAACTTTGTAAGACCAGAGAAAGAGGCCCTCTCTTTTTGCCCCTCGCTGGCAGATCGTTCACAGTCTGTTCATGTTGTTAAATGGTACTTAGAGAAAACATGACCAGTCCCAAAATAAAATCCAGAGGCAGGTGGCCATTCATTGTCCTTGAGTTTTGATTATATCCCCCACTCTTAGGCCTGACCTGCCCAGCTTCCAGCAGGACTCAGCCCACGCTCCTCCGTCCCAGTGAAGGCTGACCAATTGCTCTTCAACAAAGTCCACAGCACGTGTTGAGCTCCTCCGCCCAGGGTAACAGCTTTTTAACCTCATAAAAGGTGGAAATTGTGGGCAGCTGGGCTGTGTTATTCACAGCCTGCCTCCCCGCCACCTCTGTGAGCATGGGTGTCGCTGTGGGGCTGTGTCCCACCTGGAGTTGTATGGACTTGCAATCAAAACACATTAGCTGGGTGCTTCTGCTAACCTGATCAGTAGTGGAGCAATTAGCACTGCCTTCAAAGGGACACAGAGATGTCGTTTTTTGGGCAGCAGCTGCTGCACCCCAGAGCTTGCACAGCCTTCAAAGAGCAAAGCGACGCAGCTGGACACCTTGGTCAGCCCACACATATCTGGTCTGTCCTTGAGAGTCCCACACGGGGACACGTGCCCAGATCTGTCACCTCCCCAGAGCACTGGGGTCCTGCCTAGCCAGGGCACAGGGAGAGCCCAAGGAATGCAGCAGCTCAGGGAAAGCCAGCAATGCCAGGGAGCCCAGTGTTCCTGCACGCCCGGGCTTTGGTTGGGGGACAGCAACAGCCAGCATCACTCTCCTGTCACTGCAACCCCATCACCCACCTCCTGCCATCCTGTGGGTACAGGCTACCAAGCCTGGGTGACCTCACTGCCACCCAGCAGCTCGGGGAAGGATGTCCCTCCACATTTAGCCCTGGCAGGAAAGCAGCGCTGCCCCCCTCCAGGCCAGCTGCCCACCCACCGCAGTGTCATGGGGAAAAAGATGTGCTTTGTGCCCTTTGCCCGTGCTCTGGCTGCCAGGCATGGCCAATGGTGGCCCCAGGCCAGAGGTGTGCGTGCCTCCACAGCCCAGGGCTCAAGGTGTGTGTGTCTCCCGGCCTGGCACCAGCGGAGGAGGACAAGTGCAAACACTGCGGCCAGTGGGGCGGGAGGAGGTTATCTGGGGCCCAGCAGTAGAAAAACTCTCGGTGTATGACTAAGGCACGATAGCACCAGGTGTGGGTCCAGTTAGGGCGAGTGCACCAGGGAGTTATCACTCCACCGTGGGTTCAGGTGCCTGAAGCCAAATGTTTCCTCAAGGTGCGGTGACAGCCACAGCCCCGTTATCACAGCGCCTGGGCCCACCCCGAGCAGTGGGGACACGGGGGCAGGCTGCTGGACCTTCCCCTCATGGCAGGGATGGGACACTTTCCACTGCCCCGCTGGGGAGGGCGACACCCTCCCTGGGAGCATCCTTCAGCAGGGACACCTTGGCCGTGGGGACCCAAGCTTGCCTTGTGTCGAGAAAAGGTCTTTGTCAGCCCATCCAAGCATACCCAAACCATCCCTCCCACCCCAGAGCCCCCAGGCTGTGTCCCACCTCCAGCACACTTGTTCCCTCTCCAGCTCCATGCTGTCCCAGTAGACTGCAGCAACTCCAGGATCAAGCCCTCCCAGAGCTGCAAGCCCCTTCTCCCCACAGCCCCGCAATCCTGGGCCAGCTCTGTGGGGCTTGTTAGATGCAGCACAGGGAACCCCCATGAGCTGGGTCATCCCCAGAGGACAGAAACCCACCCGATTTGCTCTTTTGCCCCTCCTCCAGCTACGACACCCCCAGGGCCCCGCTCCTGCTGGCAGGTGACTGCAGGGTGCCAGGCCACGCTGTGGCCATGACTCACCCCTCTGCTGGGAGGTGTTTCTCCATGCCTCACTCCTTCTCTTCCCTGCTTGCCTCCCCACTGCGCCAGCTGGGCTGCACCCCAAAACCTCAGGGTTGTGCCTTAAGGTTTTCAGGGGGTAGTCAGGGACCTCGGCATCACCCACCACCACAGCTCCCAGGGGCCATTTTGCCAGGAGGTAACCAAGGAGGGAAAGGAAGGCCAGGTTGGTGGAGGGAAGATACGGTCCAGAGCAGGGTCTGCGTGGCCCCCAATGTGGGCATGGTGGCGTGGGCATTGTGGCAGTGCCCTGCCAGCCAGCTTTCCCTCTGCACCGACCCCACAGCAGCCCAGCGTGTGATCCAGGACACCAGGAGCTGCCCCAGGCTGTACCAGCCACAGACCCAGGTGTTGTATGTGGGTAAATCAGCCCTTCAGGCACCAGCCTGGATTTTCCAGAGCATCCTCCTCCCCTCTCCAGCACAGCCATGGCACCGGACACAGTGCTAGTGCCACTTTTCCTGCAAAGCAGGGTCCCACTCGGTTGACTGGTGCATTTTGGGTCCCCATGTGCCTCTACAAGGCCAGGCCAAAGGGCTTTCCAGCTGACCGCAAGCGCACAGACCGCAGGCAGGGATTACACCCCAGCCCTGCCTTCCTCAGTGCTGCCGAGGGTTTCTTGCTGCCCTCATGGCTTTGCAGGGCAGGTTTTGCTGGGGACAGGACTGGGCTCCCTCCTCCAACTGAGAGTGTGTCTTGGCCCAGGCAATTGGAAGAGGGTGTTTTTTATTAACAACAAATTAACCATAATTGCCTTTTCCACTACAACCGCTCCTTGCCCAGGTGAGGTTCCCAGCCCTGCCGGTCCATGCGACCGCCATGCCCCATCGTGTGCCCAAAGGAGTGCCTTGCCCCAGGCCTGCGGGAGCAAACCTGGAGCAGCTCTGCCCAGAGAAGGAGCCAAAGCACCTTCCCCTGCTCTCGCCTCCATGTAAGGCAGCGGCAGCAGAGCCGGACCTCGCTCCCGCCCTGATGCAGCGATGATGAAAGGCGAGGAAGAACTGGTTTGTGCTCTGATCTCAGAGCTGAACCTCAAAACAGCCGCGGACCGTCACTCTGGCTCCCAGGATGCTTAGGGAGAACAGGACAGTAGAGCCAGCCTTTCCAGTGGGACGGGATGGTTGGAGAAATTCATCGTTCCCCTGGAAATAAAAATAATAATCATAATAAAAACACAAAGCCAGAGATTACTTATACGCACACAAACACGCAGGCACGCACTCTCTCCCCATCTGGCTTTGCCAGCCTGACTCATCGCTAATTCAAACAGCCCACACCTTTCCCTCTCCCTCCATGTGACATTTTGAACAAGTCTCTGAGGAAGCGGCAGAAGTTTTGCTCTGGCCACCCCACCAGCATTGGACCCTCACCCTCAGATACTGGGGGTCCCAGGAGCAAGTCGCCCCCAGGACCCTATCACAGGTCACTTGTGTCCCAGCACAGCCTCCCCCAGGCAGGCATCTCAGAAAGTGGGGCAAGCAGAGGGTGGAGGCAGCTGTGGAAAGGACAAGTGATTGAGTCTGGCGAATCTGTGACACCTGTGGATGCAGTCCCATGGTGCCATGCCCAGGACTTGCAGGCAGAACAAAACATCTCAAGCTGCTGTCACCCTGCCTGGAGACACCCACGCTTTTGTACCTGCTCAGGGCAGACCCCAAGGCTGGGTGTTGGCCCCAGGCCACTGAGCCCAACCCCAAAACACTAGCCACCCCTCAAGACAACATCAGCCCCGCTCTGTCATTCCCATCTCTTTTTCCAACTCAACTCTCCAAAGCTGCAAGCAGGAAATAAGAAAGGAGCGGGATCAGCCCAGCCTATGCTGGCAGCTGAGCTACATCCCATTTCCGTTTGCGGGGTGAGGAGCCCCAGGGCATCCCCCAGCCCTGGCTGGCTGCCGGAGGTCACTGCGGCGAGCACAGGAGGATAAAGCCACCACCAGCCTGGGCCAGGGCACCGCACAGCCCGTACAGCGCGCTCCCTGCACTGCCAGCATGGTGTCAGGTCTGGACAAGCCCCAGCCTTCAGAGGGATGCGTGCATCACGGGTAATCAGCCGTGGGAGGGAGGGAGGGATGGAGCCAGACCTGCTTGCTGAACTCGGGACCTGCCAGCACGGTTGTGCTGAGTCACCACCTATTAACGCAGGGAAACCTCAGCACCTGAACCCGGCCAAGCTGCTGGGCCACCCCTGGGAAGACAGCAGGGACAGCACACGGGACTGAGCGGCTGCCACCGACCTCCCAGTTGTGACCACAGGGCTGGTGCCACAGAGCTCCTGCTGCAGGGGACAGCGGGACAGGACCACACGGGAAGAAGATGGGACCAGCAAGGCTCCTGGTATGGTTTCGGCTGCCATTCCCCTCGGGGATGACTCACCGCAGGACCAGTCACGCCATCCCGGTGCCGCAATTGCCCCATCTGCAGATTAGGGAAACTGAGGCACAGGGAAGTGGGGTGACTCAAGAGCTGTTGCACAGGAGATGCTGCTCGGATGCCGAGGCTTGGGCGTTCCCCATCGATCCTCCGCAGCTAACTTAAGCAGAAATGAACATCGATGTAAATATTTACTGACAAGCAAGCCCAGCCTCACCCTCTCCTCTTAGAAGAAAGCTTTAAAGTAAACTCTCCTGGCTCTTTCATGTTTACATCTTGTTTATTTATTATACAGCAGATCACAATATTTCAACAGTTTGCATATAAAGAAAAGTAACATTTCAGAGTGCGAGAGACCTAACGTGCCCAAGCAGAGAAATGTTAATTAACAATATACACAGACGGGAACAGTGCACTTCCCAAAGCCGAGACTCATCTGTGTTCCCAGCTGGAAGAAAAAAAATATATTAAAAAAACAGAAACATTATATATTACTGCTTTGTTTAATTTACAACTTGCTTTGCAGAAGCTGCACATAAAAAGACTCATTTTCCTTTGAGCTTTCTCTTTTTCCCTCTAAGAAAGTTTCAAGTATAGCAGAGACCTGGGCATTCATAGCTGGACTCACTGTCCTTTACACACTAAATTTAAAAAAGCAGCATGGGGAAGGCAGCTGCAGCAGTACCTGGTGTCATCCTGAGGGGAAGAACAAGACAAGTTAAAGCAGATTGGAGCCAAGAGAGCCATTTTAGGCTTCTGAGCAGAAAACTGTGGGAATAGCCAGGACTGGATAGCCCAGCAGGGTCCCAAGCTGGCAGTGGGAGCGTCCCTGCTCTCTGTGCAAGGTGACACTGCGCTGCCAACCCCTGCAAACCTTTATAGCCACGAGCCACAGTCAGATCCCACCCTCGCCCTGTCCACTCTGGGCTTTTGGGTTGGGAGGTTTGTTCTGATGGCCACAACCGAGAAGACCAGCAACCCACTTCCCAGTGCCACAACCAACGCACCCAGCAGGTACAGGTCTCCAGCCAAAACCTGGCCAGAGTCAAACACCACAGTCTCCGGAGCCAGGGGGGTGCAAGGATTTGGGGGGAGAGGGTTAAGCTGATACAAGCCAGGAGCTCCGGGGACAGATCCCTGCTGCACCAGCCCCCCCCCCCACTCACCAGATGCCTGGCTGGGGGGACCCTCCAGGCACAGGGAGCTGAGTGGTGATGCCTAGGCAGGGGCTGGAGACACTTCTTGCAGCTTTGCTCCCCATCTACACCCCAAAGCAGCCCTTCCCCACCACTCGGCTGGGCCCAGCTCTCACAGGAGGGGCAGGAGGAGAAAACTAGTTATCAACTACAAGCGGAGAAGGCTGGGTGGCCAGGCTGCTCCCCAGTGCCATCCCCCGACCTGACGCTATTTACACCATGAGCTGGCTCCGGGGACACCAAGTCCAGCCGTGGCCTGGCGCTCACATGTGCCGCTTCATGTGGAGGGCAAGGTGGTCAGAGCGGGAGAAAGCCCGCTCGCAGAGGTGGCACTGGAAGGGCCGGTGCCCCGTGTGCTTGCGGTAGTGGCGGGTCAGCTCATCGGAACGGGCAAATTTCCAGCCACAGCCTTCCCAGGTGCAGTGGTAGGGCTTCTCGCCTGCAGAGGAGAGGGGGTGTCAGTGGGCTTGGAGGTCCCCGTCCTCCCTATGCCTTCACCCCAGTGCTCCCCTGCCCACCACCCTTAGGAGCGGGGATCCCCGCTGTGTACTCATCCCCTGAGCACCTGTTTGATCCAGTTTTCCTTTTGTCCCCTATCTTCCTGCCCTTCCCCGTGCGCTCTGCCATCCCATGTTCCCCGCATGGGGCCTGTCCTCTGGGCACCCCTGCCCAACTACAGCATCCCTCTATGTGCCCCTACCCCACTCCAAACTGTGGGTGCTTCCCTGCCCATCCCTGCTGTGGGGCTACGCCACGTGGCCCAGCCCAGCTCTGCCAGGGGTCTCACCATACACCCCCAGTTTGTCTTCCCCCTCCACTTACTCCCAGCCCAGTTAGGGGGCTCCTCCGTGTGCCCCCACACCCTGCTCCTTCAGGCACCCCTGGGCCCTGAGACTGGGGCAGGTCTTGCTGTGTCACTTGGTCCCCATCTGCCCCTCCCCGGCCCCACCTCGGGGGTCCTTCTGAACACACCCGGGGATATCCCCACTTGCCCCCTGGCCCTCCACACAGGACCCCTCCTTGCAGCCCCGTGCCGGCTGCGGGGTCCCTCTGGGTGCCCCCACCCGGCACCACCACGGGAACCCTCTGTGCACCCCCGGACTGACCACAGGGGTCTTTCTCTGCACACTCCCCGGTGCTAACTTCCCCACCGCCCCTCCACATCCCCGGGAACCATGCCAGAGCGGGCCCGCGGGTCTCACCATGTGCCCCGGTCACCCCACCCGGGACCCCCTAGCACATTCCCCCCGCGTGGCCGCCCACCCCACCCCCCACCCCGTCGCGCCCTTACCCGTGTGGGTTCGCATGTGCGCCTTGAGGTGGGAACTCTTGGTGTAGGTCTTGCCGCAGCCCGGGTATTCACAGTTGTGCGTGGCCGTCCGCTTGCGCGCCCACGAACGGCGGCCGCGCTTGGGCTTGCAGTCCTCGGGGGGGGCCCCGGCCGGGAAGTACTCCAGCACCGGGGAGTTGGGCGGCGTGACGAGCAGCCCGGGCAGCCCGGACGGGCCCGGCCCCGGCCCCTTCAGGGGCTCCCTGAAAACACTGAAGTGTCCATGAAACTGCGGCGGCTGCGGCGCGAAGTGGGGCGCGTAGCGGTGCGGGGCCACGGCGTAGTGGGGCGGCAGGTCGGCCAGGAGGTGGGGGTCGGCGCCGGGCAGAGGCTCCTCGGGGGGCCCCAGGCGACCGTGGACGAAGCCCGGGTAAGGCTGCGGCGGCACCGGTCCCGGCGCCACGCGTGGCTTGTGCTCGCCACCGCCCGGCCCCAGGTACTCGGCGGCGGGCAGCCCCAGCATGCAGGCGCGCTCCTCCGGGTGCTCCTTCTTGATGCGGGGCCCGAAGGGCTGAGCGGGGTCCAGGGGCAGCGGGCGGGCCAGGGCCGGGTGCAGGGGCGGGTGGTGATGGGGGTGGTGGGGCGGGGGGCCGCCGGGAACCCGCAGCTCCGTGTACTCCCTCCGTTGTAGGTCGCAGTGGCCGGGCAGGTCCGGGGTGAGCAGCTCGGCCACGTAGCTGTGGCCCTGGCCCTCGGGGTAAGGCGCCGGGAACTTGCCCGGCGTGGGGTAGGAGCCGTCGCTGTCGTAGGTGGTGCCGCAGCTCTCGGGGGTCTCGGGCAGGGGGTAGTTGGGGCCGGGGCCGGGCGGCCCCTGCCCGCCGCTGCTGGTGTGCGCCAGGATGAAGTCCAAGTCCACGAACTTTCCCAAGTCGTCCTCCTCCCGCTTGACGGCGGAGCCGTCCTGCTGCAGCATCCTCTGCGGGAAAGAGGGGCGTCAGGACCGGCGGGGCGACGGTTGCGGCAGCGCCCACCGCTCGGGGCGGCAGCTCCCCCCAACCCGTCCGACGGGTCGGCACCGCTCCGGCTGCGCTGCCCCCGGGGCGCCCTCCGACGGCGGCGGGAGAAGGGCCACCCCCCCCCCCCCCCAAGCCGGGCTAAGCCCCAGCCTGGGAGGCTCTGCCCGTACCCCCAACCCCCCCCCAGCCGCCCCCTCCCCGGTGCCCGCCGCTTACGTGGAGCATGTCGGCGGGCCGCTCCTCTAACGGCAACAGGTTGGCGAAAGTAGAGATGGAGGGCAGGGTGCTCTCGTCCACGGCCGCCGCCATGGCGGGCCGGGGAGGGGGAACCGGGGCTGGGGGGGGGGGTTGGGGGGGGGCGGGGAGCGCGGAGCCCGGCACCGCTCCGCTCCGCTCCCCGCGGCGGCGGCGGCAGCGCTGCTCTGCGCCGCCCCGCGCCGCTAAGCTGTTAACAGCATGGCTGCGCCCCTATTGGCCCGAGGTACATTGATATTCACCGCCGGCGCCTCTCATTGGCTCTCCAATCGCCAGAGCCACGCCCCCTCCCCACGGGGCTCCCCCGGCGGGACTGGGGGGGGGGGGCGGCGCCCCGCCTGCCTGCGGGGCTGGGCTGGGGGGGGGCAGCGTGGCGGGGGTCGCCGTGCCCTGCCCCATGGCGGGAAAAGGGGCGCGGTGTGGGTTGCAAATAAACCCGGGGTCCCTCCTGCTCGTCCCCACGACGTGAGTGGGGCTAGCGGCGCCCCGGCGCTTAGCCCCGTGCCGCGAGCGGGAGGAGGAGGACCTGTAGATCGCAGAGTGGGGGGGTTCCCCGGCACCCTGCCCTGCGTGGGGCAGGGGCAATGGCCGTGTCGTGTGCCAGCGCGTGTGGACGCCAGCAGGAGCGTGCCGGGGAGGTCTGGTGTGGGGTTGCTGCTGAGAGCACGCCGTGCCGGGGGAGCCAGGCACAGCCTTTGCCATGGGGGCTGCCAAGCAAGTCGGCGAGCAAAGGTGCCATCGCAACGGGCGCTGGGCCGGAGTGGCTGAGCCCCAGTGCCCCCACACCACTGGTTTCATGTAACAGAGCCCGTGAGGCCGCGTCCCCCCACGCCGGTGCCATCGGTGGGGCAATCAGCAGCCCAGAGCGCACCAGCTCCCATCTGGCTGCGCACAGCGTGCGTGTGCGAGCTGAGATAACTGACCCAGAGACCCTGCCGAGGGGGCTGGCACCCTGCCTGCATCGCCTCATCTCGCCCCACAGCCCCTGTGGGACGTTTGTCTGCCCTGCCTGGGGACTGGCACCACAGCCGAGACTCTCACTGCTCTGCCATGGGGGGTACGGGCCAGCCGGCTGACCCTGCCCGCCCCACAGAGCCCTCGCGACGCTGCTGTCCACCCAAGGGCTTCCCACGGTGGGGGACATGAGGAGGCCGGGATGTCCCACCTCACAGGAGACACCCAGGTACCCCATTCCGTACCCGTGAGTCAGGACAAGGCACAGAGACCTGGGGCGCTGGGCAGACCTCCCCAGGGGGTCTCTGCCACCCTGTCCAGCTCATAGCGAGACCTTCTCCGCTTGGCCCCCATCCAGCCAGTACCAGGAATGGCCCTGCTACTGTTGCTCTTGTCAAGAAGCAATAGCCCTTATCTCCCAGAGCCTGTCTCCCTGCTTTCTGGGGCTTTCCATCCCCAGATACCTTTCCAAGAACTGGGGCTGCTGCCTGCGCTGTTCAGAAGTGAGGAGTCAATATAAAAAACCAAATATAAACAGCAAAGGTGAGGTGCGCGCACACACACGCACACGCCGCTTCTGGAACCAAAGCTACTCTACCAGTTGCTTTCATCACCGCGCTTTAATTATAAGGGTGGAGCATTGCAATAAATTATTTCAGTAATCCAGTGGAACAACAACGATTCAAATCTTCCCCCTTTTACCAAGAATCCCTGCCCTGGTTTCCAGAGCACACGCTGGGTTGCTGCCTGGGCCCCGCATGCCCGGCTGCCGGCAAGGGAGCGGGTTTATTAATGCCACCTGGCAGGTCGAAACACACGGGCTACAAAGTTCTTCCTCAGAAAAAAATCACCTCCGAAGTAGCAGAGAAGCATGTGGGCATCACTCAAAATCCCTTTTAGCCTGGCCCCCAGAGTAGCTTATTTAAGTCACTGGTTAATCCCATTATTTGTTTCTGAGCCAAATAATAATTAATAGCAAGGCAGTTCCTGCCCCAAACTTGTATAGATAAGTGAGAGCAGATGCCACAGGAGACAAACACTAATTCCACTTGGTTTTCCCCTTTTCCAGGCAGTTTTGGCGTCTGAACCTGTGCAGCACTGGCTTATTTTAAGAGAGGCGTTGCCAGCAGATTGCGTTCATTTTTACAGTCAATATTTCTTGCAAATGTGGGATATTCCCCAGTAAACTCTTATTACTGATACCATGTGGAAGGGCTGGCGCGGAGGGGAGCAGCACCACCGCAGGCGCCACACCAACGCAAGCGCTGCCAGCGCTGACGGGGCAGGGAGCCGGGGAGGGTGGCACAGGAGGGGTTTGCCTGCTGTGAGCCGTGGGGTGAGCACGGGGGGGTCCCTGCCACAGCTGTGCCGGCCCCTCTGCTGCAGGAGCCTCCTCCAAGCCAAGAAGGAGGTAAGCAGGAGCAGCCGGTGCGTGTACAGCCCGCTGTTGACAGAAGCCCGTTCAGGAAACGCGGATTATCTCCTGTGCCACTACAGCAGGCTGTAAAGTCGCTGGCATCCCGGGAGAACAAACAGCGTCCCAGCAGGAGAGCAAACAGAGGGTGGGAAGGGCCACCCGCCCAGGTGATGGCCAAAGAGGAAAGGGTTAATGGTTATCCCTGCTCTTGGTGCATCTGGCAGTAGAGGAGCGTGCTGTGCCCAGCGTGGTGTGCTGGAGGTGGCTCCATCAAGCCGAAAGCGTCGGCAGCCCTGCCAGCGCTGCCACGGCACTGCGACACCCCCTCCCCACGGCACACAGCACACGTGGGGCGGGCGGGGGGGGGGGGTGATGCCCCGTGGCACTGCTGGAGATGGCATCAGTGCCCAGATTGCCTGGCGGGGTCCCCAGAAGACCCAGAGGGGTCCCTTACCCCACTAAACCCTGGGATCTGAAAAACACTCTCACTGCGTCCCACCCTGTACTCCGTCAGCTGGAGCTGGGGGCCTGGAGGAACGCGGGGACTCCCCTTCAGGGCATCTCTGGTGCCCCCTCTCCCGTGGGAACCACAGAGCCCTTCCAACACTGGCCATGAGTCCCACAGATCTTCTGCTTCAGTGGGAGGCAAAACCTGAGCTTCAGAAGCTCTGCTTGGGACCCTACGGGGAGATGCTGTGGAGATCCACACAGCACGACACCCTGGGGTGCTGTGATGCTCTGGGATTAGGTGCCTGAGAACAGAAAGTGGATCTGTCTGGATTTTACTCTGTCCTCCCCTCTGCGCAGGGCTGGCCTGCCTGGAGAAGGGTCTGGGAGCCCCCAGACCTGCCCGCACCCCCCAAGCCCCCTTCCCCTCCTGAATAGAAAAGAGGAACCGAAAATGAAATTAAAGCATAATTCAATCCGGAGCGGGTCCAGAGTAAAGTCATCTGCTCTTATCGTGTGCTGGCAGGCTCTTCCCGCTCTGCAACAAACACAATGTTATCAGGGCACAGAGGGCAGATTCGTTTGCACCGGCCGAGTGAGCTGCTGTGTCCGCCCTGCCTGTCCCGGGCCTGGGGAGCGCCGGGATGCACGGCCGAGGACCGGGGCTGCTGGGGGTTTGGGAGGCAGGGAGCTCAGCTCCGGGATGGGGTGCTCTGGCTGGGGGCCTCAGCTAGGCTCCCCGCGCAGTGCTTCAGTTGGGGGAACCAGGTCAGGTCTCTCCTGGTGAATGTCGCCGTGGAGTAAACCCTTCGGAGGGACAGGGCTCAGGGGTGACGTCTGTGCCTACAGGAACATACACGGCCCCGTCTCCCATGGGTGCTCCCCAGCTGCCCGCCCAGAGAGGCTGCCGAGCTGGCAGAGCTGGGCACCCCGACCCCCGGCGTGGTGGCTCGGCGGCACTGCAGTACCCCCAGACCCCGCACGCACTCCCGGCCCCACTGTGCCGCCTGGACCGCATCCTGCTTTGATCTCTGGCTGTGCCCTGGCGGCTGCGGGGCCAACGCAGCCCTCCCCGTCCTTCTTTATATACCCCTGTTATTTTTAACTCTGCCTACGCAAATCCCGAATCCGGAATGAGCAGCGGCCAGGGGCCAAGGGGAAATGGACATGGTGCAAATTTCCTGCCCTTTTTACCTCTCTTCCTCTATAACATACAGCAACGTTTTTCCTCCACTGCTTAACTTTCACTGGTACAGGAAAGCTGGAAGCACCAGGCTCTGCACAGAGCCACAGGGTCCAGCACAGCGATGGACAGGGCATCCCCCCGCTCGGAGGGGACATCACACCCAGTGCCAAGAGATGTCCCAGCCCATAACGTGAGCCGCAGCCTCCATCGTCAGCGTGACATGCTCGAGGCGCCCGGCCAGCCCTCGCAGCAGTGGCCTCACGTGCGAACGCGTGCGCTCACGTGCCAGCCCAGGGCCGCATCCTGCCCCCTGGCCCAGCGAGCCACCCCAGCCCCAGCCAGGGCTGCCGGGCCAGCACCACGGCCGGGGGAGCCGTTCACTTTCGCTGCCGCCTACAACAGCGCTGGAGAAGACCTGTGCCACCCCAGCAGCTCCAGGGGGTATAAGGAGGAATTGCTGTCTTCTGGTTCCTTGTGAGCAACAGGGGAGGCTGGGAGGAACACAGGAGGTTTTTCTCGACACCTCTGGGTTTCATCTTTAAAGAAAAAAGCCCCAACATGTAGTGCCAGCAGGATGCACAGGGAGTTTCGCAGTGGGCATCGTGGTACGGCGGCACAGCACAGGGGATGTACGTGTTAGAGCCCTTCTCTCATGTGCTGTGGATTAATAGCTGTACATCATGCATGAGCAATTCGACTACAAAAGTTTCAAATAATCCAGGTAAAAATCTCCACCACTCTTTTCCGAGCAGCCTCCATCCCTCCTTCCCAGTGATACTCTAAGGTATTCAGACTCCAGTGAACCCGGGGACTCTCAGCAGGTGGGGAAAACCTCCCTTGCCTGTGCAGAGAGGCAGGGAAAGTGCAGGTGCTGAGCTCAGCGCCTTTCAGCCCTGCTCCATGCAGGTCCATGCTGTTTCCCAGCCCAAAGAAAGCCCGGCTGGCCCCAGAGGCTGGGCTCTGGTGTGGCCACGGTACATGGGGCACTGCCGCCCCAGCGGGGGAACAACTTTCCGATGGGAGCTGTGGCGTGGGGCTGAGTGAACGGGCTGTGCCATGAGTCACTGCCACCCATGGGGACACAGCCCTGGTGTGAGGCAGCAGAGGACAGCCCAGG